TCTTTATAAGTATTTGTTGTTTTTATTTACCCTGTATGTTCTTGTTATGTTTTCCTTGTAAGCAACTTTTATGAAAACAAAATTGTAAACACGTCAACTGACATAGAGAGAGCACGCCATTTTATTTTTCAATCACTTTTTTTTTAGTAAATAAATTAATAAAATATTAAATGGGGGAGGCTAAATAAGAACGAACCTCATAAGTGCTAAGCAGTTGCACAAACTGGCATGGAAATCTGCATAAGTGCGCTAAAAGTTTTTAATTTCGAAATAAAAAATGAATTAAAATAATGTTAAGTGTTCAGACATTTTACGTTGGACAAAATCTTTAATAGAATTTTTAAATCTCAAAAAAAAAAGAAACTTATCAAGTTCATTCAAAAGTGCAAAAGTTGGATTTTATAGTATGTAAGAGTGGTTTTCAAATAAATTTAGGAGTTGATGCCTAAACTTTACCCCAATTTTTTTTTTTTTAAGTAACTCATTTAGAATCCTTTTTTTTATGTTTTTCAAAGTTTCTATATATAGTGTTCTCATGCAAAATATAAATCTTCCTTTTCAAATTGCAAAAGCATTATAATAATTTAGTAATCTTTCATTGAGAAATTTTTACTTGATCTGCACTTTGTTAGGTTGTGACATGTTTTTTTAATTGTTTTTATTATTTTTTATATTTTACTGATGATGAACTATGTTCGAAACATGTCTAAAGAACTCAAAAGTCTTGTATATATATATATATATATATATATATATATATATATATATATATATATATATATATATATATATATATATATATATATATATATATGTATATATATATATATATATATATATATATATATATATATATATATATATATATATATATATATATATATATATATATATATATTTATATATATAGGTAAAGCTTATGGGCACCGTAAAAGGCCTTTTAATAAAATATCTATAGAAACGTTATCAACAAGTGTTAACAGTAATTGTGTTGAAGAACTTTCATTGTCAACAGACATAGCATATCATAAACACTAAAAATATTATATGTTTAGAATTCAATAAAATTTTCTGAAATTTCAATATATGTATTTTTGAAGTAGATCCTAAGCAAAGTTCTGATATTATTCAAACCATCAACATTGACTGGCAAGAATTCATTTATGGAAGTCAAAATAGCAGTTTTAGTCATTCCTGGCAGTCTGTGTTGACTGCCCATTATTTTCTTCTGTAATTAATGACAGTCAAATTAATAGCTCAAGTATAAAATTATAGGTTTTAAAATGCGCCTTAGTTGTGATAAAGATGGGTCATCTAGGAAATAAAAAAACTTAGATAAAAAATATACGCTTTAATCTGGTTAAGGGTAGGAGCAGTTTTTAATCTTTTGATAGTAATCTTCCTAGTGATGTTGTCATGGTAAAAATAACGGTAAACTGAATGTGAGCTCAAATTTAAGGCGATCCAGGGATTCATTGTGTAATATGATTTTATTATTTTATTTTTTTCATACTTTTATTATGTTACATTTTGGTTTGTTACATTATGTGTTTTACATTGTTGCATTATTGCAAAAAATAATATTGCCTTAACTTTCTTTTATAGGGCCCCCCTGAGTTCCTTAATCCAAGCTTAATGTAAAACAATTTGTTGCAAATTTGCAATATTGCAACAAGAAATTTCAAAACAAATTTTAAATATTGCAAAGAAATATTTTTGTACTATTGCACTATTATTTTTTACTGTTCAATTTTAAAATTTTATCTTCTAAAATGAATTTTTTATTTAGTGGATTGATGTATTTGATGAAGTTACTGGTCTTTGGAAATTTGGGTTAAATAATCCCAGAAAACAAAAAGTTGATCAAGACCCATTTTCACCACAGTTAGTGGAACAATTAAATATACGAAACAGATGGATACATAATCAATCAGTTTATCCTTTTTTAAATGGCATTTGTGAATGTGGGGTAGGTTTCTTCTTATATTACTGCTGTATTACTAATGATATCCCTGTATTTCTTTTTTGTGTGTGATTTTTATCTATAATTTCTTAGAAAAGACCATTGTATTACATTTTACAATGAATTATATTTAGGCTGGATGGAATAACAATACTTACCCAGAAGGAAGATTTTTTCCCAATGGAACATCCAGTTTATATACTGACAGAGGTTTTATATTGTTACAGGTTTTTCTTCTACGTTGTGTCAATTTGTCATGTGTTAGGTTTTGGGACGGTGCAGAACATTGTGTATATCGATTGTCTTCATCTACATGTGCTGGTTATGACATTGGTTGGGACTTTGTTGATTCAGTTCAAACCAGTGGTCAAAGTGCCCTGTTCATGGGCATTGTTATGGTTTTCATGTAATACCAGGTAGCAAAGGTCGAAAAGACCCTGCTGCATCACTATATACCCATTGTCCAGAAGCCCCAAATGATTTATTTTATGACTTTGCCTGCAATTTGTCAGAATATTGCAAAAACAGAGAATCACAGTACTTTGCAAAAACTCGTTTTTTCCATGACATTTTTCATGGATATACGCATAAATGTTCAAATGCCTTTAAATATAGTCGTTTGACCTCCTCATCTCTGGTAAATACATCAATATGTGAACAATTTAACAGCTACATTCAAAAAATCAAACGGTCTGCAAAGCTTATGTCTCAAGCACATTTTATGTTTTATTTGCAATTTTTTGTGCATCTTTGGAATAAATCTAAACGAATTTCATTTCAAAGAAAGCTAAATATTGCTCATCAAGGATGCAAAACATAAGCAATTAGTTAATTTAATACTATTTAAAATTATTTTATTCACACTCCTGTCTTATATGTTATAGATGTTGGAAAGTATACTTTAAAAATACAAATTTAAATTTTAGTTTTTAAATTAAATGTTTTAAGATTTAGCTTGTCTTTCTTTTTTTAAACTATAAATTGTGATAAGCTTTTTTTCTAAATTTTATAATATCTATAAAAAGGTTTAGTATATAAATATGAAGTTTCTTATTTTCTTAATATATATTTTCTTAATAAATATTGTCTTTTTAGATAAAAGTTTGTTTATTAATTCAATTTTTAACTTACTTTTAATACTATTTTTATTGCTTTTTTGGTAAATTAAGTATTTAATTGATGATGTTAAAGATAAAGAGCAGTAAGTGGTATTTTAGAGTATAAACAGTTATTATTCTTTGAAATAAAAACTGTTTATACTCTTCTATAATAGGGTGTTATTTATACTATAGTGATATTTATATTCCAAACGGTATTACTTTTGTAAAGATTGTAATACTGGTTTATGTTTTTGTGATACCTGTTGTTATAGTTGATTTTAAAAAAACTTTAATTTAATAACCCACATGTGTTTCTTACTCAAATTTAGTTGACTCCAAGAAATTCCAATTAAGCTTTTTTACTAAAACTTATTAGTTACCGACTTGATTAGTATATTTAATGACGACCAATTATTGTCAAGGTAAAATATGTGATAGGCTTAATGTATATCTTAACATAAAACATATTGAACAAAAAACTATTTTTTATTTTTCACTTATGGTGGGTGAAAAATGTTGTGTAACTTTTTTATTTTGACCAGAATGTAAAAAAAAAATTCAAGATCTTTATTCAATGGTAGTCCTTTACGTTATAAAAAAGCTAACGAGTAAGATCTTTTTTGGTAATTTTATTTATATTTATTTCCTCTTTTTTCTTTATTTTTGTAAGAGCGTTTTCAGCTTTTTTGAAAGTGAAACTTTTATTTGAAGACTTTATTTGTGTGATGCACACTATTAATTAAATATTTATTTATTTTTAATTTTAATTTTTTTTTAGTTCGACTATTGCCATTATTTTGTTTCAGTTGGCTTACTGTTAAAAAATGGTTTTAATTTAGTAAATTTCATTATTTGAAACTTACTTAAATAATCATTAGTAACAGTAAAGAAAATTAATGCAGATCATCAAAGTAGGAACAGTTTTATTTACGGGTAACTTAAAAAAACAGCTTATAACTGTTTATACTCTTTTTTAATGAGAGTGTTATACTAATCATTTGCTAAGTAATAGTAATATTAGAGATGTTGTGATACTAGGCTTACATACTTACATGTATATCCGACAATATGACAATCTATTGTGTAATAAAATTAATTAACATTTAAATAGATTTTATTTTGTTGTTTTTATTTAGTAGATTTTATTTGCGGTTTATTTTTTTTTTTTTGTTTTTTTGTTTTTTGGAGACTGTACTTTGTACAACTTGCAAAACCTTTGAAAAAATCAAAAAATATATTATTAATATATAATAAAAATATATTTCAAAAAATCACAAAAGTGTAAGCAAGTACCCCAGCGGCACATCTAGTTTCTTTTTCGGAAATAAAACCTATATAGGCACGTGTTTTTCACGATCCATGCGTAAACCAAAAGCACGTGTATATTACGGGCAGTTTTACAAGAGTTTAACACGTGTTATTTGAGGTTTTAAAGTCAAATTTAAATGTCGCATGTTTTTATCAGTGGTTTCACATTCTTACAGAAAGGTAATACAATTTAATACTACGTTTACGTAACGGTGAAACCATTAATACTTTAACTGGTATTTATGGTAAATAGTAATAGTTAATTTCACGGAATAAAAAACATTTTTGATACGTGTTATTCTTTTTGTTTTAGAAGGTTTTAAAAATGCAACAGAAACCAAGCGTAACTATTTTCTGAGTTGTGCCGGCTGGGACAGTGAACTTGCAAAAGTGTATACAAGTACAGTGAACTTGCATACACTTTTGTGGTGCAATATAAAGTTGCGACAGTATAAATGATATTAAAAAGAGCTTTAAAACTTATGTTATGTGATATTTATATGTTTTTAGCTATAAGGTAAATTGTTATTATTATTTAAATACTAATAACCCATATTACGGGTTGCTAGTTGCTAGAATTAGAATTTTATTATGCGAATTAGAATCTTTTTCTTTCCTTTAAACTAAAAGGCAATTACTTTAATTGGAATATATTACAAATCTTCTGGTTTATGGGTAATACATATGGTACGTCATGCTAAGTTTAACTTTTAAACATAGGTATTAGATCACTTGCTCTTTTTCATTAAACCTGAAGCGTCATATTTCATGAACAAAACTCTGCATAAGAGAGTCGATTTTATTTTCCCTAAATACCGAAAATTGCTAACGCCGGTTTTTATATATATTAAATATTTTATATATTGTAAAGGTACAACTGAAAAACATTGAGTTAAGTTAAAATAATTTTTGAATCAGACTGTTGATCAAAAAAACTAAATCACTCTCGAATGCCATCATTACCTTGATCACAATAAAAATATATTACCTACCTAAAATATTTAACTTCGGTTGAAGTTTTTATATTTATTCATAAAAAAATGTTAATTGTATACGTAAACAAATACTTCACGTAAAATGATTTTTTTACTTTACAATATAACGCACATTTAAAAATGTAGCGGCTTTTGGTATTTCAGCCCCGATTGACGTCCTATACGGACGTCAAATGCAAGCAAAGATGATAAAACCATAAAGAAGTCAATGCAAAATTGGTTTTAAAGAAGTTTATAATATTTTTTAACCAATAAATCTATAGGGTAAAATGTTGTTAAAGACATTATGTCTTTAACTGTTATGTTGCCATTTAACAACATTTTACCCTATAGGTTTAAGAAAATAATGAAGAAATAAAAAATATTTTAATATTTAAGAATATTTGAAAAATATTCTTAGCTCCTCTTTCACGCTTATTTCCTCCCTCTACCCATGCAGTACTGTGTAACTCTATACAGTAAACTGTATAGTATATTCACAGTATACTGTAAAAGACTCACCCAACTATAACACCCCCAAATAACTTTTTTTTTTAACTTTATTTCTACTTTTTCATTTTAAACTAGATCAACAATATATATCGAGTAAAAATATTTCAATGTACTTTATAGATAAATTCGACAATAGATTTCAAATTTATAAAAAAAAACATCTTGCCGTAAAAATGTTATCACCAGTTTAAAATATTTGTTTTAAGAAAAAAGTACACGTTATATGATCATAAAATTTTAAAAGAAGGCTCTTATAGAAAAAAACAAATCTTTCATTAAACCTAGTAAGTCAAATTTTTTTGCTTTTGAAGTTTTGATACCCTTAAACTAAACCGTTAATCTACCTTCGAATGGGATACTTTGATTGGCTTTCGTGATTTTTTTTAAAAGTTCTGATAAATTTTTTATAAATTGCTGCCGTTTTTGGTTTGAATATACCGAATGATCTCTCCAAGCAAACCCTCTTCTTCCCCCCGCGGGGTTTCATGGGTAGTTTTTTAGGCTTTAAAAAAGATTTATAGACCTGGTACACCTGATACATTTTCCAATCAGAAAAAACGTTTATTATCTTCAAAATGTGATTTTCGCAATCAGAAGAGAGTGCAACTGGATGACTAAATTGTTTTATATGTTTACCTTTTATTCCGTTGTGCAAGAGTTAACTCGATATAAGCTCGAAATGTAAACTTGACGGTAAATAAAAAAAAAAACAGAAAAAAAACCTAATTCTTTTTAATATCAAATTTTATCTAAATTTGGTGGATTATCGGTATACCTTCTAAATTAATAGGTTACAAAACCATCAAAATGTTTTACCTATTTTTTAATAAACATTTTTTTTTGTAGTAAAAATATTTTTTAGGTCATAAAACTGTCTTTGAGTTTTTGCAAAGATGTTGCTAAGGACGCTTTTTTTTCAAAATAAATGTAAAAATTGAAAATAACCAACTTTAACTTAAAAGTTTTAATATTTTAGTACCAAGCATTAAAGAGCAATAAATTCTAATCTAGAAACGTTTTTAAAAAATTTTTGAACTTTTTTTAATTTTTGAAATTTTTTTAATATATATATATATATATATATATATATATATATATATATATATATATATATATATATATATATATATATATATATATAATAATAATAATAATATTTTAAATTTCTAAATTCTATTCTAAAGCATTCTAAAGTAGGGTAGACGCTTTATATTTTAGGCAACCAAGCTATAGTTTTATTGAAAAATAAAAAGTTTCTATGCTTCTTTTCAGTGTAAAGTATGCTTCTTTTCACAAGATTTTTTGTTTTATAAATGATTTTGAAAAATAGCCATTTCATAAAAATTAAAAACCCTAAATACATTTGACATTTGAAGAAAACCTAGATGTCATCGAATTAAATCAATAAAAAATATTGTATACTAAGCTCTGGTTCTTTCCTTCACAGACACTAATGCAAAATAAAAAAAATATCCTACTATTTTGTATTTTATGCAGAGTAGTTAGAAATGTATTAAAACTTCGCTAATGCATATTTCTATTTACCTGAACGAATGTTTGATGCTAGAAACGATTAAATACGCGTAGTCAGGGAGAACAATTAAATATGGCGTAGTCAGGGAGATCCATAGAAAAATATTGCGTTTAAGTTGTTGTTTTCATGCATTCTGATTAGTCTATTCTTTTTTATTTTAATTCTTGAAACTCATTGCTATATTTTGTTTATAATAATTCAGTGATTTTTATTTCTTAGAGTTTCAAATTTTAGCTCATTACGGGGCAAGAGTTATATAAAAGCTGAAAAATTTTTTAAAAGTAATTTATTCGAACGACTATAAGGTGATTTTACAAATAATTTGTCTGAAGTAAAAATTAATGTGAAAACTTCGATTTACTGTTCGTTTTACTGTTTACGGATAAGGTAAAGTGATAGATTTTTTAGCGATTTATCGTATATTTTGAAAGTCAGACATAAAGAATCTTTATTTTTTAAATAAGAGACATTTTTGGATTGATACATTTGTTTAAACTATTTTATAAATGCTACCCGTCACGTTTTATTTAGTGATAATTTGATACCTGAATAAAAAAAAAAAAAAATTATAAAAAGTAATTAACTCTATAATAATTTTCCGAAATAAGTGGAAAACACAAAAAATTTAAAATAAATTTAAAAACGTAAATTTTAACTTTCGATTAATTTAAATTCCTCTGATCTCGCCTTAATTACGCTGTGTAGTTTTAGGGTTTCTTATTTTTCCTTTGCAGGCATTAAAAAAAAAAAAAAATCGATATTCAGTTCTAAGTTTTCACAGACGCGTCATAATAAAAAATAAGATATTTAAAAACAATTTAGTACCCCCGCAGGTTTAGCTTAAATATTTTTCTGTATGACTTTTAAGGGATCGTCCATAAATTACGCAACGCTAAACTTATTTTAAAAATATAAGCGCTGCGGTGGTTTTCGCTGGACTATAAAGGTTGTTTATTTACTTAGTTTAATTAATGACTCCGCGAGGGAAAACTTTGAACGCTTTGTCTTTTGTCTATAATTTTAATTTCGCGTTACGTAATTTATGTTACGTATTCAATGTTTTCTCATTGTCTGACTCCCAGAACTGAAATTTAGGCTTCGTTTCTGCTTTATAAAATTTTGGTAAATATGATAAACCCAAGTAACAACGACGGTGCATGAGGTGTAAAACAACCCACAATTTCGACCTGTATTAGGAAAATATAAAGGAAATATCGAGGAAAACATGATAACAGAATTGAAATCAAGGTCTGCTGGCCACCGTGATGATTCACTTTAATACGAAATATTTCAACAATAAAAAAACGAACGCGTATAAGCTTTTTTTGATAGTTAAATAAATAAATTAAAAAAAACACGACATTTTATTGAATTATTTTGAAAAACAAAAAGTTTTATGGAGCAATCTGTGTTAAAATAAATACTAATTACAGTATAATATTAAAATTTTTACTATTAAAATTGCTGAGATGATATTTCTCTATATTAGTATAACGACTATATGAGGCGACCAGGGCGATGCAGAAAAACGATTTTCGAACCGTATTTCAAAACTTGGCTTGAGCTACCATATTTTACAGGATATATATAGGATTTCAATTAATTTGAGTCTCATATAAATCTTCCCAGCTGTTTATTTTCAATCTAAAGTATAAGTTTGTATTAATCTTTTTATAAGAATAGTCATATATTTATTGTTTATATTTATAAACGCTTTTTTTTGATGAAATGAAACACCTAAAAAAAAATACACATTCAGTGTTTTTAAAAAAAAAAAAGGTTTAGGTCTGGGATTGAAAATACCCTAAAAAGTTACCACCCACCACTTAATCCTCGACCGTACGGTATTACTATAATTATTTTGTTTAAACAAGTCTGCCTACCTACTTATCTACAAAAAATATTAGCTCTAAACTTAATATGTAATTTTATTGTAACAATTCCTATTCTAAGAATTGAATTTGCTAGTTACTGAAAAAAAAAAAAAAAAAAAAAAAACTAAAATAAATAAGTTTAACTAAAATAAATAAGTTTTAATAAGAAAAAACTAAAATAAATAAGTTTTAATAAGAAAAAACTAAAATAAATAAGTTTTCCGGTTTAATTGAACACACTACTTATTTTACATAATTTTCTTTTTTTCTGTGTAAATTTATTTCCGCTAGACATAAACAATGTTAACAAATCAAAACTGTAACAATCAAATTTTTCAAAAAGGTTGTAACAATATTTTAAAATCACAATACAAGGTAAAAATCTTAAAAACATATATAACAACTATAATAAGCAGTAACAACTATAATAATAAAAACAATATTTTTAATAATTTTTATTAAAAAGAAATAACAATCATTATTAAAATAATCTTTAATAAAAAATTATTAATAATAAAATATGGAAAATAATAAAGACAGTAATAAAGAAAAATTAATAATTAATGCTGTAAACCAAAGTAAAAAAATTTTTTTTACACGAGATTGAAAGTATTTAACAAATTGTAGATATAAAGAGTGGTTAATAAAAGCGTAAGCAAAAAAATCTAGTAAATATAAGAAAGTAAAGATTTAATACTAATAAAAAACAAACAAATAAATAAAAAGAAAAAAATTAAGGGGATAATGCAAATTGAGAGAACTGTTACAGCCAATAAAGGAAATAAAATCTTTTTATCTAAAGCCATTGTTCAGAAAATTTAATATCTAGGGTAGGGTAAACTAATATAAAGGGTAATATATAGGGTTGGCACGATCTGTCTGTGTACAATATGAGCCTGCCAACAGATTTTCCCAAATTTGCCAGAAGCAGATTAATTGTGTGGCAATTGGCATTAACAAAATAGTTATACAGTAGTAATGTAGTGGTAGAGTGCTTGCTTCATAAGCAAGAGGTTCTGAGTTCGATCTCCACCATGTCCCTGGTAATATTGTGCTCAACTTGTTTTTCCATGACCAGCGTTGTTTGTCAAGGTTCGTGTTTCGCAATTATAGAGTTGAGAGAGTTTAGAATTAGAGAGTTTGGAATTATAGAGTTATATTTACATTTTTTTATATACATCTTCGCTTCCAACAAGGCTGCAAGCAACCATTAATTATAGTTAAAAGTTATTGGAAAAGAAAAGATGAAGATTGTAGAGCATGATAACAATTGACAGACGACTTAAAAGATTGCAAATTATATGAATCAGGAAAGCAAGATGAAGGAAACTCCAAAGAAATGATGTTTGAGGAAAAAACTAGAAGAATAAGAGTTTTTGGAGCACTTAGGAACAGTCACAGAAAAAGGATGAGACTTTATTGAATGACAAGTAACACAAAAATGAATTTTAGTTGATAGCACAAGTGACGCTATATATTATAATATTTGTAGAAAATAGAAAGAGAAGCAACATTACGATGATGTGATAATGGTTAAAGGTTGCCTGTAAAAGCAGGTCCAACTATATTTGCAATGCGTTTTACACCTTGTCCAAAAGAGAAAGAGTATCATTAGAAGATTGGCCCCAGATATGGCAACAGTATTCCATAAAGAACAGATTTAAAATTTATAGAAATAGAGAATAGAACCTGGAGTAAGAAAGTGTCAAGCTTGATAAAGAGATATAATCATAGCAGATGCTAATTTTGCCACGGTACATTACCTATCAAGTACGTTCAAATATATAGGAAGGTCTAAATTATTGCAATAACGATTGGCTGAAAAAAATTGAGTTTTATCTGAATTAAAGTTCACCAGCCACTGTGAGCCCCATGTTGTAACAGAAGTGAGATCCTTTTTAAGCTCAAATGCCCCCTCCAAGCAATCAGAGTGTTGGCTTCTTATCATGACAAGAATAAATGGTAGTATCATTTGTAAATAATGCCACCTTAGATATGAGAATATCTGGAAGATCGTTAATATAAATTAAAAAGAGTATAGGGCTAAGGATTGAACCTTATGGAACCCCTGAAGTTACAGAATATGAAGAAGAGTACTGTCCATTGAGGACAACTTTTATACTACGATTGGAAAAAAATTCAATAATCTTAAATATGTTATCAGATACACCGTAAGAAGAAAGCTTATGGAGAAGAACAGCATGCCAAACTTTATCAAAAACTTTAGAAACGTCAAGAGTGATGGCATTAACCTCTCCACCTTTATCTAATTCACAATAAAACCTATCGGTTATTACTGTTAGCAAATCAACCATAGAACGAGAAAATCTAAATCCATATTGATAATCAGAAAGTAAGTTATTAGATTCAAGATGAGAGATCAAGTGTGAATTTAACAAAATAAAATTAAAAAAATACATTTAATAAATATTTTGTTGTATTACTTAGACAAGTAATTATAGAGTGTCTACCTGTATATAAATACCTAGTTACAGGGCTGTATTAATTAGAATAAATTTATCAAGGGTGTTAGCCAGAAAAATATTTTTACCACTTATTTGCGATATTGGATACATTTATTGGTTATTGTCCTACAAACTAATTTTACTACAAAAATAAAAAAAGTTGTTAAATTTTAAGAATTTTAAACCCATTAGGAATTACACAATATATGTGATGCCATTTTGCTGACTAACACCTTGTTATCATATATTATTTTTTCTGTTATTTGCCAATAAGATATCCTTTACATTATAAACTATAGTAATTCATATAAACATGCATTAAAAATATTAACTAAGTTATTATATATTAAAATCATTAACTAAGTTATTATATATTAAATTTTTTATTACCTTTTGCCTGATTGCAAAAATGGAACAATGGTCAAAAAGGTTATAATATGCAAAAAAAACCAACATTTTATCTGTATAATTACCACTCTCAGCCTCTATTATTGATAATTTAATAGTTCTATATATCTTTTAATAAGATTGATTAAAAAATATATATATCTTTGAATAAGATGCATAAAAAAATTTATTACAACAATGGGCGAACTAATGACAATCCTTCTCACTTTGATTGTAGAACTAACATAATCCTCAAAAACATAGCATTTGAAACTGAGGTCACTCTAATGGAACTCTCATCACTTGATATACCTAAATCACTTGGTGTAGACAATTTTAGCCCTCACGTTTTACACACTTGTTCTATTTCAATGTCTACTTCATTTAATCTCATCTTTTAAAATTCATTTGACATAGTGAAACTCAAAGCTTATGGTCCAAAGCTGATGTATCACCTTTATTTAAGAAGGGCTCCAGAATTGAACAAACTACAGACCAATATTCCTAACCTTAAAACAATGTAAAATAATGGAGAAACTATTAAAGAAAGCAACCATGCAGTATCTAAAATCAAATTATCTTTTATCAATAGTCAACATGGCTTCTTAGAGAAAAAAGTATGCATTATTATTAATTATTGCATTAAAATTCTCCTTGAAACAGTGGACTTCTTGACTGATAATATGGCCAGAAAACTACCAGTTGATGTCATATTCCTTTTTTGCTAAAGCATTTGACTAAGTGCTCAATTAGTTTTGAACTGAATTTTTAATAAACAAATTTTAAGGAGTGTTTACATTAAACAGATAAGATTAAAATTATTAAATGTGTGTATATATTATTGTTGAGTATTTTATTTTTTATATTTGCGTGATTAAAATATTGCCTAAAAGTATCTAAAAGTTCTTTCATTTAAAGTATAGTTTTAAATAAAAAATTTAAATTTAAATAATTTTTTAAAATTTTATTCTTTATAATTGTAATTTGAACTTATATAGTTAATTAAAAAATAATAAGGACAAAAAACTTTTTTTTCAATTTTGAATGTGAAATATTAACTTATTCAAAACGTTTAAAATAATTTTTAATGTCTTTAAAGTTGTTGTGTCTTTATGAATGATTACTTTGTATGTCTTTTTAAAAATTTTATTTGTAAATTTACATTTTTGATGCTTTTGTTGATGTACATAAAATGCAAACAATTATTTTTAAAATATCTTTACTTCCAACAAGGCTACAAGTAATAACTATTAGAGCTAGAAGTTATTGGAAAAAAAAAGATGAAGTTTATAAAGCAAGATTATTATAAACAGATAACTTAAAAAATTGCAAACTATATGAATTAGGAAATATATATATATACATATATTTCTTAATTCATAAATTTTAAACCCACAAGCCACTGCAAATCTTAGGTTGTTACAGAAAAGAGATCAGATTAAGGCATTGAGGCATTTTGTCAAGACAAGAGTATAAAATTGAGTTATCAGCAAATAGATCCACATTTTAGATGTAAAATTTTCACATGAAGATCATTATTGTAGATAAGTAACAATACAGGAGCAAAGATAGTACTTAGTGGTACCCTTAAAGTTACTTAAAATGAAGAAGAGTGTGCCTTCAAGAATAACTTTAATACTGCAGTTAGAAAATAATGTTTTAACAATCGCAAAAAATTTATATGAAGAAACTAATAATAGAGTGAAGACTAATTGTAGAATAATTAGAGAGGTTAAAGTGTTTTCTACAGTTTTTAAAAATTGGAATAAAAATCGAATAGAGTTATGGAGAACATTTTTTTAAGACTGTGATAGAAACCTTGTCAGAAGCACAATCTGTAAAAGTATTTAATTGAGAATTAATTTTAGCATTGGAAGCCAAAGTGATTTGTTTAACAATTGGTTGATCTATTTAACTGGTTTGACAAGAACAGTATGGCCCTTAGATTTCTGTGTCAAGTAAGAGTAAAAGTTCTTTCCAAATAACTCTGCCCTATTGTAAAGATAATTAAAAAGATCAGACCTATGAAAGATCAGAATCATGAAAAGATGTGCATTTGTAAATACATAATATGGATATAAACTTATGTTTACTATTTATTTAGATGCTGGCAATTTTTCTTACATATTTATATAAACTTTACTATTTATATGGTATAGTATTTGCAGAAAGAGAAGCTGATCAGACGGATGCGTGGTGTGACTCTAAGAAGACAAGAAAAAGAGGCATAATCTTTGACAGATTAGAAAAAAACGTTGTATCTAACAAAATTTGCTAAAGAAGTTTTAAGTGATTTGGGTATTAGCATGAGACAGGTAGCAGCTTCAGAATTAAATAGTAGTGGTAGAAGTAAGAAAACTTGAAGAGAATCCCTTACAGATTGTATGAATTAGTTTTAGCTAAGGAAAGAAAATGCTCTAATGTTTATATTAGAGTTATAAGTAAGAAAGGCTAAAGCCAGATGTTAATGATGATGATGAAGATCATGATCTTGATGATGGTATTGGTAATGATGATTATGATGATCTTGTTGATCATAATGGTATTTTTATATGTATATATACACAAAATATAACATAAATTTTGAATTAAAAAAAAAACCTTTAGGAAGTATAAACATTTATGCAGCCCGGTCACAAACCTAGCCCCAACAAAATATAACATAAATTTTGAATTAAAAAAAAAAACCTTTAGGAAGTATAAACATTTATGCAGCCCGGTCACAAACCTAGCCCCAACCCCGGCTATATTTTATCAAACCCGGACCCTGCCCTTGTCAAATTGCAACCCTGGTTGCTTACTAAGTACCAATATAAAAAAGTTTCATCCTGACTTTGTCATTTCGACTATTAAACCTCAAAGATAAATGATGATCTGATAAGTCATCAGTTTAAGGATTCAAAGGTAAGTGTGGCAAGAATAATACAAGCAGTCCTATAATATATTAAAAATAATTATATAATATAATAATTCTTTTAAAACTATCTGATAAGAAAATCTAGATTAGCTGATATGAAAATAAAGAAAAATGTATCCAAGAGCTTTTGTATCAACCAACGGCATACTTATATTAGCTATACTTGCCTACATAAAAAAAAACTTTTTAAGCGTATGTATTTATATATATATACATACATATATATATATATAATCTTTAAAAGTCATTTTCTTGTTATACGATAATAATAAAATATGTAAAATTCAATAAAAACAGCTGCGTATAAACTTTTTAAAAAATATATATTTGTTTTTATTTTAATATATTTTTTCGATATTTCGCTGATCTATTGTGATCAGCGTCATCAGGTGTAATTTATACTTATGTAATTTATAATTACACCTGATGACGCTGATCACAATAGATCAGCGAAATATCGAAAAAATATATTACAATAAAAACAAATATATATTTTTTAAAAAGTTTATACGCAGCTATTTTTATTAAATTTTACATATTATATATATATATATATATATATATATATATATATATATATATATATATATATATATATATATATATATATATATATATATATATATATATATATATATATATATGTGTATATATATCAGGGTGTTACCCAGCCTGATGGCACCGCGTATAACATGGTATTCTCAATTGGTTTAAAATTCTCAAAGGTTTATATGATCATAGTAAAAAAAAAATTTTTTTTAATTGCGCTTTTTTTGAAACACGTAATTAAAGCATTTTGAAAAACGGCTGCAGTATATCAAAAACAAAGAAAAGAAGCGATTTAAATAAAAACTTTAGAAGATTTCTCATAATGAAACAAGTTGATTAATTAAAATTAAACATATATAAAGTAGAAAAATAATCCTGCTTTAAATGTAACTCCCAGCAAAAATAGAAAGTTTATTTTGATTAAAATTTAATTGCAGAATGTAAGGACTTTTTTTTTTTTTTTAGCCGCACCTAAATTCCCAATTTCGCAAAAACGCTGTATGAAAATTTTTCCTGGGTAACACCTTGTATATATATATATATATATATATATATATATATATATATATATATATATATATATATATATATATATATATATATATATATATACAGCATCCTAGTTTGTGACTTTCAGGGACATGTTTTTTTTGTTCCCTTTCTGTTGTTTTTTTTTTTACTTTTTTTATACTATTTTTATCATATTTATATAAATTTTTCAATTTTTATTTTATTTCTATTTTTATTTATAGATATTTAAATTTATTATACTGTTACAAAAATATATTTTTTATACTAATTTTTGTTATTTTTATTTATTTATTTTATATATTTCATTTTTAACTTCATCTATTTCCAAAAACCATTGATTACAATAATAAAACCAAATTTAAACCTTGCCGTAACCCTAACCCTAAGCCTGGCCAAAACAAACCCTCAGTCAATATAGCAGCACTCCCTTACGAGTCAGGCTATTTGCCAGTCGATGTATGTACTTTTGTTCTCTATAAAAGTTTCGTACGGGTATGTTTTTTTGTAAAATCTGTCCCCGTAAGTGATAAACTATACAAATAGTTGCAGAATATCAACAAATTTTATTCTTTTATCAGTTCAAAATCCATGTCTCACCATTCTGTTGCACCACTTGCATGTTTTGATGGTTCTCATTGTTTAGACGATTGTAAAAAAACATGTTTTTAAACAATTTTTTTGCTACTGTCTTCATCACTGACAATGGTGTTAGTCCTCCATTAGATTTTGCATCCTATCTAAAATATTTGAGTAACATATCATTTCCATATAATTCTGTTGTTTCATTTCTACAAAAACTTCCAGCAAAGTTTTCCAAATTTTGGGATGGTTACCCTCCAATATTTTTAAAATCAATTGCAACTACCATTGCCATTCCTCTTTCTATTAAGAAATGATTACAACAACATCTTGTAAAAACTTTAAAAAAATCTTGGCATGATCCAATGATTGGCAGCTAAAAAAAGCAACCAACAGATGTTTTCATTTATGCTACGGAAGATATAATATACCTACTCATCCTTATTCATTAAACTCCATTATGGATATTGAAACTGTTTATTCAATTCAGGATATTAAAATCACCATGTCCTTTGATACGAATTTCTCTAATCACTGCTCTCGTATTTCAAGCATAGCATACTCTTGCATTTACTTACTTTTAAAATCCTTTATCTTAACTTTCATCTTTTGTTAAAAGCTCACAAAGTTTATGTGCAGCCTGTATTAAAATCTTGCACCCCAGTTTGGAACCCTAATCTTTTAAAAGATATAATTTGCATAGAAAAAGTTAAAAATATTTTACCAGAATTGTCTGCAAAGGGTGTCATATTACATACACTAATTACTTATCAAGACTTATTATTTTCCAACTAAAATCTCTTGAG